TAATATAGATATACAAAGGGTATATAGTCTGGTCTAGTTAAGCGAACAAAATATCCTGTTTATCGTAATGTAAAGATTAAAGAAATAATAATAAATATGAATAAACTGATAAATAAACTAAAGCTCATATTCTCATTAATAAACTAAACAACTATAATACGATAACTATGTTCCTTCCATTAATAAGTCTCAATATCATCAATGCTTCCTTTCAAGGGCAACAATTTGAAATCACAAAAACCCGATCTTTGAAATTTTGGACATTTTAAATTAATTATTTGTTTTAAGAAATAATGCAATGAATAGAATAACAACTGAAGTAAGAAAAAATAATTATATTTTCGAAATGTGGGGCTGGTGAGAAGAAGATAAATAATTTATTTGGGAAGTCCTGTAATGAAACGGTCATGCACCCTGCTATCTGATTGATTTTCAACTTCTACAATATAATTGTGGGCCTTTTTAAAAATACAAAATAAAGTTATTGTACAAGTATCCGCCACAATTTTGCATTCATTTTCTAGAAAAATAAATTATAGAAAATAAAATGACAAAATATACTTTTGTACCTATTACCTATTACACGTCACATCTTTTATCATTTTTTATCTACCTATAAAGCTCTTATTTTTTTTCCTCAATTAATTATTGCATTTTGTTAAATCTTCTTGATGTCTACTAAACTTTTATAAAACAGGATGCATATCGAAAAACTTTGCGCTAAAACTGTTACTAGTTTTTATAAGTGTTTTTGGACGATATGTTTTGGCTATTATGATATTTTTGTTGGTAAAACTGTTATCAAATACGAATTAAAAATTATGGTAGAAAATTAAAATTAGTAGTGATACAGAATTATAAAACAGACATGTTTAACGAGAATGATAGAGAAATTGAAGATGTTATTGATGCTAGAAAGAAAAGCGGTCAGTACAACATTCAAGATGAGACAGTGACATCAACAAGTACATCATGTAGATTTGTGTATTCTACCCCAACATCGGGGCTGACTGAAGATAGGATATTTAATGAATGCATTAATGAAGGGGATTATTTAACGGATACATGTTATTCTAACGTAGGCTCAACAGACTCAGAAATAACCGTCGTTCGAGTAAAACGAGAGGGCCTTAATAATAAACTGAATAATGAAAATATGTGGGATACTATGCACGATGTAGCGATTCCGGGAGATGGGACACATTTAGGAGAAAGTCCATCCCTAATAAATTTGGTAACTTTGGTCAGTAAAAATGTAGTAAATTTTGACAACGTATATGAAGGGAACGAGTATCTTGTACCATTGTCTTCATGGGATCCTAATGATAAACCTTATACCGAAATTCCTCATAAGAGAAATATGAAAGGAGCAACAGCACACAGTTATTACAGTACTGATCTTCAAAGTGGAACGTCTGGCAGTCCGCTAACTCTTTCTGAAGATAGAGCAACAGCAGATTTAAATTCTAACGATGGAGATATAAAATCAGTTCATTTAAAACGGTTAAGTTTGGCGGAAAAGATCTCCAATTTTTTGCGCAAGCGCCGTAGCAAAAAGTTGAAAACGACTGACGGAAGTCGAGCAACATTAAAAAGTGAAAAAAGTCTTGTTTGATAATGTCGATAATGTCACCACTCGGCTCAATATAAAGACCGAAATCAAATTACTTCCAATCTAAATGATCTCAATAAGCTTTACAGTGTAACAAGTATGTAATATTAAATGATAAAAAAAACCTAACCAAACTTAATTTTTAAATTTTTAGTTTTTTATTCTGCTTGTCCATACGTAATTAAAATATTTTTTGACAATGGAAGGTGAAAACGCCCGAGATGCCCTTTTCCACTCCAATGGCACCACTGCGCTGGAAACATACAGTGTTATTTTTCCAAGTGCGTTGCTAACGTTTATAACGACTACTGCATCGTCATTTATCGTAATATCTTCCTATGCTAAACTTTTTGTATTAGATTTTGTGTTTCTCGTTATCCCATTGATTTTAAACGTTACAATTTTTGCCAACCTTATCAATGAAATCATATTTACTTTGATATGCGTAAGTATTTGCGCCCTTATGATACGACAAGATACCAATGAAAAGCCTGCTCCTAAACAATTGACCACTGATTGTACAAAGCTGAATTATATAACTAACTTAAGATCTACGATTAACATAATGTCAGTATTAGCTATTCTTGCAGTTGATTTTCCTGTCTTTCCAAGACGCTTTACAAAAACAGAAACTGTTGGGTATTCCTTGATGGATGTAGGTGTTGGTTTATACATTCTATCAAATGGTATTGTTGCTCCTGAAGTTCATGCAAAAACAACTTCATTAACCAACATTATTAAGAGTACAATTCCATTAATTACTTTGGGATGTGCCAGATTTTTACTAGTCAAAGAACTTGATTACTATGTACCTGTATCTGAATATGGTGTTCACTGGAATTTCTTCATTACATTAGCAGTCACAAAGATTTTGTGTTCATTAATTTTAAAAATCATTTCCATTCAGTATGCCATCATTATTTCTGTTTGTATTCTGTTGGTTCATGAAGTAGGTTTGCAATTGTTTTTATTTGATTTTGTAATGACTCAAACTGAGAGAAACACATTTTGGACAGCAAATCGAGAAGGAATTGTTTCCATTCCAGGTTATGTCGGATTATATTTTATTTCTGTTGGCATTGGGGATATTTTAGGGATACGTAGTAAATATCACATGAAAAAGAAATTCAAATTGGGACTAAAATTAGTAGCTTGTTCCTTTATATTTTTGTGGGCCACCTTCCTTTTAGATAAAAACTTTGGCGTTTCTCGTAGGTTGGCTAATTCAGGCTATTGTGCTTGGGTCATGTTTATTGGGATTTCTATGACAAGTTTTTTTTATTTAATTGAACAAATTCAAGTGCACATCTACAAAAAGAGTAATATTGAACACCCCATTTACGTTCCATTTATTTTTGAAGCTATTAATTATAATGGATTAGCATATTTTCTTTTGTGCAATGTTTTAACAGGAATCATTAATATACCATCCGACACGATGACATATGATACAAATTCGAGCTTGATGATAATTATTTTATATATGTTAATTAATTGTGGTATTATGTGTGTTCTCTACTATAAAAATATCAAACTAAAACTGTAAGATTTTTCCTGCAGAACTTGAAAAGAAACACTGTTCAAATCCGCAAAATGGGATTATTTCAAAAGTATTTACTTCCTCTTTAAATCTTATAAATGTTTAAGATGGTGTTAACAACGTTAATATTCAATATATATGTAATGTTGTATATCAAGAACAAAACTGTAATTTCCATGGATTACTATAAATGTGTTAAAATGTGTAACTTTGTGCTGTGATTTGTGTCCTTTATTGTGAAATTATTACATGTTGTCTAAACTAGTCAAATTCCAATTTTAATAAATGTTTCAATTCAATTCCGTATTTTTAAAACGCAGAGTATAAAAAACTTCACTACTTCAATTATTTTGGTACATAAAATAAATATTTAAGTACAAACGTTTAACAAGTTTATTAAAAGTCGACATAATTATTGTTACAAAACATTGGAATTGAGATTCTAATATTAAATAATACATTTAATATAAGGGCAAATTAAGTAAGAGATTATTTAAAAGCTTAAGGGGACATCTTTGTTGACGACAGGCGGTGATTTTTGCATAAAAAAATGTTATTAAAATAAAATATTTTCAGGAAAATTAATAAGAATATTTATAAACACATTTAATTTACAAATTAGAAAAAGATGTGAAAAGTGTATAAATAAAGAAAATAAGAGATGGAATCGTAGGACATCTGAGACACGAAGGGCTANTTTATCACCATGATAAGAATATATATAATTTCATTTTTCAGATATTTTTGTAGACTACTAACAATAAATTTTTATAAATAAGCAGACAGCTTACTTGTAAAACAATGGTCCAGACTCTGACATGTTTAAATAAGCGTACAGCCCGAAAAGAACGGTTGCCGTAGCAATGAACAAGCCCACTTTTCCCCTATAATGTAGCAGTAGCCAGTTCGGTATATAATTACGAAACACTAACCAAGAAGAAGGTGCCCTTGCTTTTCTTCTTAACTGTTCTTTTCTAAATTAAAAAGAAATGAATAAAATTTAAAATCACATACAGATATTACAAGAGGTACAAATATAACACATCAAACCTAAAAGTATACTTCAATAGTTTTAAGGAAAATCATTAGATTTCTTATTCCAATGAATAATGAAATCAGTGCTAATCAAACTAAGTGAAAATTAGAGCTGTTTATACAAAAAATGTAACAGCAGGCGAAGACATGTACTAAATTAATGTTTGACATGCCAAAAACATACTTAAAGATAAAGGCAAAACATCTTAAGTAAGAAATAAAATGGGAAAAAATAAAAGTATGCAAACGCAAAACATTCAATTTATTTACAAATAAAATTAATTCAGTCTCATTTTGTAATAATCTCGTTTAGTTTATTTACAAATAAGTATATCAGTCAATTTTTTATTAATCTATATACTTAGCCTAGCTACAAATTAAAAATATGATGTGACTAAATTTAACAATGAGATTCTCAAAAAAAAGCTAATCACAAGTACTTTTTTGAATTTGATTGTTTAAAAGCACCAATAAACACAATGTAAGTAATCGGATTGATAATTTTTTTAAAAAATTGAATTAAAATCATTAAATGCTTAAAAACGTAGTCAAAAAATACATACTCTCTTTTAACACGTTTATTTACGTCTTTTTCTAGCTTGTGTGGTGGATGCTTCTCAAATAATCTCGTTGAACACCTCAAAACTTCTTCAAAATCAATGTTATCTGGTATTTGTGATAACAAACAGTGTATATTTGCCATATCACAACCAGCTTCATATATTTTATCCTTACGGTACAATACTAATGATGCTGCGGTATATAATGGCATCAAAGGAGGGGATGCAAGAAAATAATCATAAAGTCGTACTACATCTCGATACTGATTTAATGAATGACCAAACCATGTTAAATACCAAGGAAGAGCAAACATTGTCCCCACCATTGCACTGCAAATTAAAAAAAATACAAAATTTATTTAAAAAATTATTTGATTTTGAAAGAAAATAGAGCTCAAAAAAGCAATACCTTTCTAAAAAATCGTGCAATTTTTTGTCTTCCCTCTGTAATAGTGGATACAAAAAATTCAGTCTGTAAGATGTTTTTTCCATTGTTGGTTCCATGCACTCTCT